TAATTATACATTTAATGTAAAGTATTTATTATAAGTGACTAAAAATATGAAATAAACATTATGTTGGTATATATATTTGATAATAAAACACGCAGGTAAAATAAATAACACAAATAAAACGTAATATCTGTAACTATTATTATTACATGTATAATATAGTGTGTACATAAGAAATATTTCTATTATTATGTTTATTATTAATATTATAATCTAAAATCATATTGGGGTTCTATTTAATCATTAAAAAAAAAAAAAAAAATGTAAACAAATTCAATTGATATTATATATTTTTTCGTTTTGTGGTTAAAACTCGTATAACAATACATTTATATTGTTTATTATCAGAATCCATAATAAAGAAATTTTTTAATAATTCCTGAATTAAATAAACATTTTTGAAAACGATATTCACAGTTTAATTTAAATATATTTCTCATAGAATATCTGTAAATTTATTAATATTTATAACATAATAATTGCAACATCAAAAATAGACAGTTTTTAAAGTTTCGAGTTTTTATTGAAACAAAATTTAATGACTAAATTTGTAAATAAATTTTGAAAAGTTCATTCGATGAATAACTTCTGAACAAATTACGAGATTGGTATTTTAATGTAATTTTATTTTTATTTTATCTACGAGTTTTATTATTTTACACTCCGTTTTTTTAATAATAGTTTTTACATTGAATTTACAGAACATATATTCGTATGTTTGGATATAAAAATGATATGTGCTATTTTTTTTTTTTTAATTTATTATATTTATCAAAAAAATCATTCTTTTTTTTCTAAATACTAGTGAACTATTAAAATGACGGTTCACACCAGTAAAACATGGGGATTTTTCTTCTATGATTACTAAAAGATGATTATTGAGAACTGAAATTGCTTCTTTTTATATTGATGATTGAATATCGTCGATTATTTTTCAATGGCTAGAGATATTGATCAAAAGTATTGGATGTTTTTCATAATATTATGGTTTGTACCTACTGTATTAGGTACTCAAAATTAATATTGTTTTTGTATTTATTATTAACTATAGATGAAACTTTTCGGAATGCAAAAAATCAGTTACCTAATTTAATTATTTTTCGATGCCCTCCTTTACGTCTGCCGGTTTTTTATTTAATTTTTTTTAATACTTGATCACTTAGTAATTGCTGTTTTGTTTTACATTAATATATATTATAAAAATGACAATTTAGCTATTTTTGATTTTTGGGTGTTAATTATGGCGTAACACTCAGTAGTAAATGACGAAACAAGAGCGTTACGTTTATTAGAAAAGAAAACATTGAGCGTAGAGACAAAAAAAGGAAAAACCAGCACAGTTCGTAGACACAGATCCATCAGTAAAACAAGTAGAGAGCTAGGAAAATTACCAAGAATAAAATAGTTAAATAAGGATTCAACTAGGGTATGAGGAAGACGTGGTGATTCTCTAAGAGATTAACCAAGAAAATTAGGAGTGACAATGATTTCTGGCGCAAATTAAATAGCGGCGTAAGGGATATCATACAGTTGTCGTCGAAGAATCGAAGTTAGATGATTGGAAAAAATGAAGATAATGAATAAGGAACGGAAGCAAGGACGAGGAGTATTTTGAAAATATAGAACCAAGCAGTTTTTGTTGAAGCAAATATTTCAAATATAGAGTGATTAGGTGAAGATAGATATGGTAAAAATTTATCGGCTAGGCGTTGGCTTCTATGTTCAATTGGAGGACATACACATTCAACCTCTAGGCTCGCTAGAGAGCAGCAATTATGTAAATATCAGAGTTCGATTCAACATATTTTGTTTTATAGTTATTACTTCAATAGTATACATAAAATACGTTCCTACAAGCTAAAATGCCTAACATAATTTATAAATTATTTATTTTGATTCGATTCAAATTTAAAAAACTCGATAGAGTCGTGATTCCAAATCGAGTGGCTCATAGCAAATTAAACGTATTCGGTATACACTTGGCAAATGTGCTACGATACTAAATGGGATTATATATATATTTTATACTATCGTAAAATCGCAGAAAAAAAATCAATTTTGTTCTACAGAATTTTTCGTTTCCGATTAAATCTTAAACAAATCATGTGATTTATAAAAAAATTAATTTAACAATGATATGAAAAAATGTATTTAAATTTAAATTTACATAACTTCATGGGATTTTCTTCAGCTTTTGAACGAAAGATCTTAAATTAGTTTACGGAAGAAGAATCAATTGCTGGAAAAAAAATTTTCTAGGTATTTAAATGAAACATTTCTACACATTCCGTATCAATGATAAAAACTAAGAACAAAAGATGGAAAGGTTTCGTAAAAATTCGTGTTGATCGAAATGTTATACATTTCTGAGAAAAGAAGAATTTTGAATTTGTATGAATATACTAAATAGAAAAATAATTTCAAAAACGATGCTGTTAGTGAATTAATTATTATACAAGTATAATTTATAATTTAATTTTCGTGAAATAGACTATTTACTTCCATTTCGGAATTCATTGACGTTCATCCATAGTAAAATTTGAAAGAAAACTATCTGTTTTACCAAAAAAGGGATACATGAATCGATGAATTGATGATAATTTATTATTTTTGTTAAAATTTCTAATCGTGAACTAGTTGATGAAAACCAAGGAAGGAAAGAAGAAAATCCTATACAGCGGCTCGTTAATAATGCGTTCTAATAATAAGTAAAGAGTTATAGTCCTACACACCGGGTAAATTAGTTCGTCGAGTATTACTGCCTTTATAACATCGTGTACATGTTAACGAACCCGTCGCAGGTTTAAAACAACACGTGCGTCCGTGTGACTTGTTTTTTTGGAAATCCGACCGCGTTCGTGTAATAAAATGTCCTGGGATGCGTGCACGCTATGTACACAAAAACGTGCCTATGACCGTGATTGCTTACGTTTGGTCTGTGTTATTCTCGTCTCCTGTATATACATAAATTGCATTGTTATACATACAGTCCCACACATACATATATATATATATATATACAAATATGTATAATAATTCCAAGATGTTACAACATAGCTTTGCCTTACCCTATAATATTGCGGTTGGCGAGAGAAAAAGGGATATAATTATCAAGTATGTATGCTCCCCCCTTTTGTACACACTTATATTACGTTTATATGTATATAAAAAAATGTTTTCTTATGCACGCATTGAGTACAGTCGATTTAAAGGGTACAGTTCTCCATCCTCCATGCGTGAACTATGTACTCAGAATTACGTGAAAGGAAGGATCGTCCTGTATATTTTTGCTGCATGAAGAGATATAATATCTAAACACACAGACACACACACATACACATACACACGTCTACGCTAGCAGAATCGTAAATGAACTACTACCGCTCAATTGGAAACATGAAAAATCACAGTTCCTATATATTGTTATAAACTATCACGTGGTACGAATATTACTCACTTGATACACATAATTTTCTTAAAACGCTATATCTCTCCGTATGTTGTAATACGCATAAGCGTGTTTTTTGGAAATTACATCATGTCCGTATTTTTCACAATATACGTTTTAAAATACGATTGCGCATTTTAAACTATATAACGTAAAACGTCTGCGAATTAACTGCGGTAGATACAATAAAGCGATAAAATACAAATTTTATCGAATACACCAATCGTGATTGTCGGTCTTTGAAACCTTTTTGTGGTCTTCACGAACCACCGACACCGTCATCAACTATCAGCCAAAATTAATACCAATTTACAGCGCGTATTTACCCAAATACACACAATATGATATAGAACGATTATAATTTATCAAATCGACGTAGCGGGGCGGTCGAAATGACAAAATAACAAACGAAACCTCTTCGTCCTCATTCGTCTTCCTCGCATACTAACGTCCTTTTATTAGAATATACCTATGTCACTACAATACGATATCGGCACAACGATTCTCGCGGTTTCGCTGCAGATTATTAATAATTTGATGTACCGATGAATTGACTTCGCAAGATTATAATAATATACTATGCCATGGAAGGCGGGCATTGCACACTGCTACTATACTATAATTGCCGTCGTTGCCACTGCTCTGTGTTATCGTTTCTCATCAATATCGAAATGCACGTCTGAAATTTCAATTCAAACGCCTCGTCGACCGCCACCTTCACATTTTATTACTTTCATATTCAATTTATTATCATTTTTAACGCCTTTTCTGTGATTGATTAATGTCCAATAAACTTCGGCGTTATGTCACGCAGAATCAGTTCGTTGCACCGCCACCTAATATTAATAAACGGCATTTATCTACCACTAGGGTGGCCAGACGTCTCGTATTATACGGGAAAGTACCGTATTTCAAAAGTCTGTCCCGTTGTTCCGACATATGCTTCCGGGACGCTATACTGTCCCGTTTTTTAAAAATATGATTATTTGCATATAGATCATAGAAAATATGTAAATAAAATTAAAAATATAATCTTCTTCTATCTGTACTAAATATCAATTACAGTTTACGGAGTAAATGTATATCGTTTATAATTATGCATTTGTAGAATAATGATGTTTTTACTATTATGATAAACAATTTGTAAGTCAAGTATCGAATTCAATTATTCGAATATAAAGTTATTTTTGGTCTTCGTCGTAAAGGATTACAGCCCGCATAGAGACGATTACGATCACGACGTCGCGACCGACGATAAGACATAATATAATAGCACAATGTGTGTATATTATTTGTAAATAGATTATGATTTCTCTTGTAATTTCGGTCTCAACAAAATATTTATAATTTGTATATTTTCCCTGTTTCTCAGTTAGTCAGTTAGCGTTCAGCGTTTCGTGTGTAAACATTTATCTGTGTACATCTTAAAATCTATCATACCTACTTTAAAACATAAGTTGAACTAACAATTAAAATAATAACTATGCCTAAAAGAAAATGTGTTTTTAACGAAAGTTTACAAAACGAATTCAAATTTATTACAAAATGTCAAAAGATGGGCCAGGAAGATAAGGTGGAATGTACTGTATGTGGTGGTATTTTTAGTATCGACCACGGCGGCAAGTCAGATATCAACCAACACATCAAAACAAATCGACATAAATTAACCAGTTATGCAAAGAAATACCAAAAAGTAAGCGACTTTTTCAATACAAAATCTTTTAACGAAAATCAAAATAATCTATCCGCCGATGAAGGTGTTTTTGCATATCACATATGTAAACATAATCATAGTATAAGATCAATGGATTGTACATCTCAACTTGTTAGGAAATTATTTAACAAAAAGTTTTCTTGTGGCAAAACAAAAACAGCACAAATAATAAAAAATGTTTTTTATCCATATGCAAATGAAATGCTAAAAATTGAACTGTCTAAATGTAATTTTATTAGTGTCTTAACAGACGCGTCAAATCATCAATCTCAAAAAATGGTACCTGTAATGATTCGTTATTTTATTCCAAATGAAGGAGTTAAAACTAAAATACTCGAGTTTGACGAGTTGTCAGGTGAAACATCTTTACTACTAACTGATTATATTTCAAAAGTTTTATCCCACTGGGGCTTCTTAAAGAAAGTAATAGCTTTTTTAGCGGATAACACTAATACAAATTTTAGTGGTGTTAATAGAAGAGGAAAAAACAATGTTTTTTACAAGTTAAAAGAATCAATTAACACAAATTTAATTGGTATTGGTTGCGCTGCACATATTTTAAATAACTCAATACAAACTGCTGCTGACACTTTGCCTATTGACATTCAAGCGGTATTGGGAAAAATATTTCAACATTTTTATATATACACTGTTAGAGTCCACGCACTAAAAGAGTTTTGTGATTTTGTTAATATAGAATATAAATCAGTATTAGGACATTCAAAAACTCGTTGGTTATCACTATACCCGGCGTTGACAAGACTTATCGAAATGTTTGAGGGTTTGAAGTCTTATTTTTTATCTATTGAAAAATGTCCAGCCATACTAAAAATTTTTTTTGAAAATCCATTGTCACTTCTACTTACAATATTTCTTCAAACTCAATGTGAACTCTTTTTTAATACAATTAAAAGTGTAGAAACAGCCAATTTGTCTATCGTTGAAGTAAAAAGTCATATAGACACTTTGCTACTAAAAATTAAGTCGCGAAATATTAACAATTTTATGACGATTAAGGAAACTGAATTATTAAACAATTTAAGAGATGAATCAATTTTGACACAAAATATACATAATAACTTCCGGACATTTTTTTTTGACACATGTTCAGACTATATTACCAATTGGACAAATCCAACACTATGTAAGTTAAATTGAGTTTCATGGATTACTTTAAAAAATATAGAAGACGATTTCTCCTGGAAAAACATTTCAAATACAATACAATTAATAAAAAATGTAATCCCTAATCTTACATTTAATGAGGCAGAATTATTTGATGAGTTTACTATTATTAAAACCAATTTACAGAAAAACCAAAATATTAAATCTTTTAACACGTTGAATGAAAAATGGACCTATGTTTTTAAAACAGCAGATATCGATGGAGACTTTCCAAATTTAAAAATCGTTGTGGAATTTTTAATGTGTATTCCAGGTTCTAATGCAAATGTTGAACGAATTTTCTCCGACATGAGAATAACTTGTGGACTGATGATAAAAGCCGATTTGATGTTAAAACTGTTAAAGCCATGTTAGTCGTAAAACATTTTTCCACTGAGAACTGTTCCGAGTTTCATGATTTTCTATTAGGAAATAAAAAACTTTTAAAAAATATACATTCGTCCGAAAAATATTTGCCGAAGGAGTGAAAAACTGTAATACTAAATACCCAAGCATCAACTTCGAACACCAGTTAAATCATATTAATATTACACTATATTATTGTTACTATAGTTTATACTTTTAAGTACAAACAAATATTTATAATTTTCAAAATTGTGATTAAATATCCAAAAAATATTATTTTAGTAAGTTACATTTGTTAACTATCAATTATTATTATTTTTAAGAATTTAAATATTTAAGCGTTTCATCAAAAATAGATGTTTATTCATAATAAAAAAAATCTTATCTTTGTCCCGTATTTTCGTATTTTATATCTGGCCAACCTATCTACCACTATCACTTTGTCCTTTTTACAAATATGAATTCAAAATAAAATTTAAAGGTTATAGATAAAGAAGTATCTGCTACTGAATACCAGTTCTACCACAAAACGTTTAGCTGGTTATTTTTGTCCAGCCACCATTAGATTTTAAAATCTGATCCAAAATAAAATGTAATTGATTTATTCATTTCCGATAACGTTATTTTTATATTTTTGAAAAAAAATATTAATGTTTCACTGATGTTCATTAAATAATACATTATCTAAGGACTCAAATACGTTAATTAGAATGTAATAGTGAATTTAATTAAATTATTTTTTACAACCTCTACAATTATCTGATCATGTAACTTCTATATGGATGACATGTCTCGATATATTGTTCATTCGTGATTTATCAAAATTTTTTGTATGCTTTTCGACAACTAACAAATCACGTCAGTTTTATGAACAATATTCATAACGCAATCTATTATATTTTAAATACACAAATGGTCTACCGAAAATTATTTTTAGGCCGAATAATAAACAAACCTCGACTGCTAATCCGAAGCGTTTTCGAATGTATAAGACCGCAATAATAATCCATGCCAATTATTTCACAAGATAACGTTTACGTACATTTTGGGATAAATAAATATTTGATTCTAACAAACGCCAATAAACGGAATTTTCACCAACTAAGCTGAAAATCTTGTACTTCGAACAAAATGAACAAAATTATATTATGTGTTAGTATTAAAGTACATTTAATAGTTTAATATAATCATACTTGTTTCTAGGCTTAAAATGGGTAAACTTAATTTAACGAAAAATAATATTCAAAACAATCATTGATATTTAAATTGTATGTATTTTTTATGAATTATAATGTTTGAAACAAAAAATATTATAAGAAAATGTACATAAAGTAGTAAAACGTACCGATTTAAATAATATGTTGTTCGAATCAAATTCCACTTACTTGTAAAATATAATCCAATACTTAAGTTAAAAATTTGTTGTTTTTAAAATATAGTTAAAGAAGTTTCGCATCAGTTCCCTAAACTTTTATTCTGTTACATATCAAAACTATTACACTTAATATTTTAGTCATAAGAACATTATATTCGTAATGAATAATATGTAAATTAACTATCCAAAGATTTATTAAATTAAGAACATAAAAATAATATTATTATTAATATATTATATTTAAATTACTATTATATAACAAAACATATAAAATTTCATTCAAAAATTCATTAATTCGTATTATTTTGTATTATTTACATATCCACGCACAATACCATAAATGACTATTGTATTCCACGTAATAATTTTGTATATACTTTTAAGGCATACAATTAAGTAGATTATAAAATTTAAGGTAGTAATTTCAAGTAGGTCAGTCTAGTTTTATTAAGATTTTATTAAGTTAAAAAATTTATAACCATTATCGATCATCTATAAAATCGTTTGTTGAATGAGTTAATATTACCTTATATTTTTTATTACAATTTCTAGCACAAATGTGCACATGGTTTTAATTATAAAGAAATAGAATTTGTTTAGTCAGATTTTTTCATTACTCTAGTGGGTTTCAATGTTTTATTTTTTTTATTGAAAACTTTTTCATGGATTTTTTTTTTATGTTTTTTGGATGAAAGAAAAAAAATCGTAAATAAAATATTAGAATATTGAATAGTTAAAAAAAAAAAAATAACAAACTTCCTATTACAAATACTTATACAAAAAATAAGATGAGATTTGAAAATAGATTTAAATTTAAAATAATTTAGCTAAATATCAAAAGCTATAAAAATGTATTTAGAAAATTCTTTGATAGATATTCGATTTTAATATTTTAGTAATGTTTGTTTTCATTTTTAGATCTATATACATACATATATATATATATATATGTAAAAATGATGTAACTAAATGAAGTATTTATAAAATGTATGTGTATTAACAATCATTACCAAGATCAAATGGCAATTAAATTTAATACTTTTTGTCCTTATACAAGACTAATATATCCATTTCTCCTACATTTTTTAAATTTATTATTGTAATATTTTTGTGTTGATTAAATGTATACAAAATGTATTATATTATGTCGACATAGTTTCAATTATCGAATGAATTCTTGTTGAGAAAACTATATAATCTAATATTCTAAACTGAAGTCTTGGGCGTTATGGTTGCCTAATACAGACGACCATAGGACAATAATAGTTTGGCAAAATAAACACTTATACACAATATCATTAAAAGGCGATACTTATTACAATGATAGTGAAAATGTAAATTAATTTCTTATCCCAACATGATAAATTACTCGGTGGAACTTATTTTTTCTTCTACCATATTTTCATGATGGTAGGGTTCAGCTTTAAACAGCTAAAGAACAGCTAAGCGTTCTACTCAACTCCTCCATATTCAAACATATCAAGCATATGTGTATGTGTTGTATACATGAAAATTAAAGAAATTATGAAACTGTGTTGGTATGAAATTGGTTGTTTGGCTAGCAATGCGTTCGTATAATATTGTATCGATCCAACTATTTCGAAAAGTAATTTTTATGCGTTAATAACAATACTAATAATAGCAACAATAACAGTTAATTAACCAGTTTAATTACTAACTATAGTCAAATTCGTAACCTATGCGTGTTTACCACGTTTCGTGTTAAAATATTAGTCCGATGTATATATTGCATGTTCGTAAAATATAGGCGGTATTATTATAATAATATCATACTGAGTCTCGAATTATTAAAATATTAAATTATGTATACAACAATATAGTATTTTAATGTCAACAATTTTATGAAAAAAAAAAAAAAAAAAAAAAAAAAAAGATAAGACCAAAAAATTAAGTATTTGTCAGTGTTATTGACTTAATGTAATACATAACACTATGTTCAAACGCTTAAGACGTAATTTTCTTTATCATCTGTTTCGCGATTCACTCGTGTTGTTTATTCGAAACATCGTCTCCTACCGCAACAACTTTTCAGTTAATCGTCTTATACACAACTTGATACTTGAGACTTTTATACACTTTCATTATACATTTTTCTTTAGCCGTAGTTGCACGTGTGCCCATGTTGCAGCAGACGCTTATCCTTTGTACTCAATTATTTTCTTTTTCGTTTATTTCGAATTTCCTCATACTATTTATAATATTTTTAATGTATACATATATACAAGTCAATATATTTCTGTTGATTAAATATTTTACATAACGAGAATTTAATATAATTTGCATAGTAGTTTTGTAAAATTTAAGTATTTTTATTTTTATCTTTTGAAACTAATAAATACAATATTTTTATTTATGGTGGTGTATTTAATGGCTAATGTTTCTAATGGTTTAGTGATTTTAACTGCGCAAATATAAATAAGTTATTATCATATAAAATCAATCGTTATTCTCCAGACCTATAATATTCGCTGTAAATAAAATGTCACTATTGTCATTAGATATACATCGTTGAATTGGTATTATTTATTACTTTGACTTATTTAGTCAAAACTATGATTAGTATTTAACAACTCTTTTTATTATTTTTCCTCATAAAAAAATTAATTTTTTCTAAGTTAAGTTTTACTATTGAACTATATTATCCATTCGAAAGGTTATTTATTTATTTATTTATTTATTTATTTATTTATATATTTTACCAATACAGATAATAAATTTGCATCCTTTGAACTCTGAGTATAGGTACTGATTTAATGATGGCAAATAATACAATACTTTTGAGCGTTGGTAGTTTTATATTTTCACTAATTTTTCTTCTCTCACCACTCTCTCTAACACTCTATATCTCTCACTCTCTCTTGCTCCTTTTTTTAGAAGAAATATATGTATTTTAATAGAGCAAATTTGTTCAGTACAAAACTATTGATCCTGAATTTCATGAATATTATATGATAAATCTCACAGTACAGTAAACTTTAACAGTTATGTGAATATATTCCAGCATCTGTAATATAGTAATTTTTTCATTCATTAAATTTTACGAAACGCCAATACGATTAAATTTAGATTTTAGTAATATTCTATAACTTGATTATAAAATTTTGAAAGGTAAAATAAAATATAAAATATAAAATATATTGCTTGAAAAATAGTATATTTGTTAAGAAAATGAGGCCCTTATGTATTTGTTCAATTTCAAGTATAAATAATGTTCAACGTATGAATTATAAAACGCTTTTTTGTGGGTACGTAACTATATATTCAAAAATAAATAAAGTATGCATTCCATCAATCGAACGAGAATACGTAAGAGAGATGAAACAAAGGAAATACAAAAAAAAAAAAATTAAACAAACTATTTAACATACATGATATAAATATTATTTTAATTTTAAAAATATTTTAGTAATATCAGCCACACATCAACTATGAAATTTATCACGTGTTACGTGAATACCAACGTACAACTATAGTATGTGTTATGTTATTTCTATCAACCAAACGATACTTAAGTGTGTTGTTTTGTCACTCTTCTGGGTGCAATAGACGTGTTAGAGAGATTCTCTGGGGAGTGTTTGCGGTTTGAACTCTATCTTCATCCTTTTTTTTTACG